TGTTCAATCCAATAGGGAAGGCCAAGGAATGTGACCATCAGATAAGGGATGTACCCAAACTGTTCCTGTACAATTAGCCCTCAGTATCCACAGAGTCTGCATCCAAGGATTCAATGATCCAAAGCTTGAAATGTTATATATATATATATATACATACACACACACACACACACACACACACACACACACACACACACACACACACACACATATATATATATATATATTCCAAAAAGCAAACCTTGATTTTACCATTTGATATAAGGGATACCATTTTACTATGCCATGGCATTTAGTGGGACTTGAGATTCAATGTATTTTGGTATCCACAGGGAATCCTGGAACAAAACCCCAGCAGATACCAAGGGCCCACTGTACTTGAGAAAGGGGCATACCAAAGTTACTCGGAATGACTTTTTGGTATCAGTGATATAGTGGTGAATTCTGAAGCGCTGGTGCCATTATAACTGTCCCCAGAGCTACCCCCTCAAGGGAAATCCAGAAATGCAGGCATGTGGGTTGATCCATATCAGTCAACCTGTTATAGTAGTTTTCAGTTCCATTTGGAATGAATTTTTCTGTAAAGCTGATGAACTGTATTCTTCTATATGATCATATCTCAGCTAACATATTTCAGAAATGTTTTTCTCTTGGTCTCACCACCCTCTGGTGCAAATGTAAGAAATGGTCTTCCTTATGACTGTTCCCTGGCTCTGTAACACCCTTCTTAGGAAGGCTAGGCTGTCCTCCTCCTCCTCCCCCTCCCCCTCCTTAATTTATTTATTTAAAAGTCGGCAGTTGGCTACAGACTGTTTTTAAGAAAGGGTTTTTTGGTAGTGTGCCATATTACACTTTAACTAATTTTAAAGGATTTTTTAAACTGCTTTAAAATTATAATTTACAGTTTCCCCTCCCAATTTGCAGGGGATCTGTTCCAGATCACCTCGTGAAAATGGTGGCTCACAAATATTCGAGCTCTATTTAAAATAATGGCACGCAAGCCCATGGCGCACAGGCGGAGCCGCACGTGAGTGCACACAGCCATTTAAACTATAGCCCTTGTTCCTCCCTGTGAAGAGCAAGACCGCGGACTCGAAGTCTGTGAACGGGGAGAGACAACTGTACTTGCATTTTTAATAATCTTCTACATGTTTTTACAGGAAAGCCAGCATGGCATCAAGGTTTGAATGTTGGACTGTGACTGCAGAGGCCAGGGTTTGATTTATAGTTAGGCTATGTAAATCCAAGAGTGACCTTGTCACATGCTCTCAGCCTCAGGGGAAGGCAATGACAAACCTCCTCTGAAGAAATGTTGTCAAGGAAAACCCACGATAGCTTCACTTTAGGGTCTCCATAAGCCAGAAACAACTTGAAAGCACACAACACACACACACACACACATTTTTACATATAATGCCTTCCATCCTATTAGTGACATTTAAAGGTTTAAGTCCACCTTAAACCTGTGTGTGGCTTTCACCCTCCTTTCCCCCCTTTCTCTCTTTTGGTCATTGTGGAGTGTCTGGTATTCTCTTTCACCTTCCACAATGCCCAACGCCAAGGGCTCACCTTGGACTCATTGCTCTCCACATGACCATTCCATTGCTGGGGCAGTGTTGGGGTGCTGAGTGAAACAGACACCATCACCCCCACTAATACAAATATTCCAGTGTACAAATATTCTACCCCTGTGAGTCCTGACTGCTGGACATCATTGCCTAGCACTCCAAGCAGGTGCAGGTTGAGTAAACACAGAGTTAGAGCAAAGAGTAATCTCTTAACTCTCTGTGTGATTCATCACCAAAATAACATCTATACCCTTTGTGTCAGTAATCCTTGCAAAAGACAGATGAGGCTGCTACAGTTTTTCCCTGTGGAAGAATCAAGACAGAAAGTGAAGGTTGTACCTTCTTGCAAATTCTTTCAGAAACCTGTTTCTTACTCATTCAGGAGCAGCACTTGAATTAGGAAGGAAAGAGGCCTGTGACTTCTGTGCCAGCAAGGTGACAAATCTGTCCAGACTTTGCTCTGAACTTGAAAGGAAAATCCAAGGTGCTGGCCCCCTCCTCAAAATAGTGTCAGCATTCTGCATAGCATCTTTAAAGTTCATACAGAGCAGATTCACTAATTCACAGACATGGAAGCCAACAGATGTCGCTGGAAAGAAGTGAGAGTGAATGACATCTATACCCCACTCCAAACTAACTCACCCACCTTTAAACAAATCATGTCCTCCACAACTTCCTAAAAACAACTGAGACGGACAATTAAAAATCTTGATTTGAACAATCTTGCATAGTGAGAATAAAGGAAAAACCCCATCACTTGGTCTTTTGACTTGCATGACTGTAAATACTTCCACTGGAATCAGCTTTGCATTCATATAATTGATTTGTTTTATATTTTATTTAGCAATCCTTGCTAAAACTGACTTGCACTTTTATACTGTAAAGTAACAACATGTTTCTTGTGGAGATATTTCATTCTGTGATTTGCCAAAGGGCCATTAACAGCCACAAAACTGAAAATGCTCTTTTTGAGTGGTCTCTCATTGAAAAACAGAATTCTATGTATTTCCTAGAAGTGAGATGAAGATGGGTAGTCATTAAAGGTACAAATCTGTGAATACTTGGTTCAGTCATAATTAGAATCATAGGGCCTCAGCAGACAACTAATACAGTCGTCTTCGAGGCAGGGGAGAGGAGGGGCAGCCGCACGAGCGGCGCCCCTTCCTCCTCCCAAGGTTGCCCTCGGAGCTGCCGGCCCTCCACACGGCCGGCGCTCCTAGGGCAACCTCCCGCCGCAGCGTCTGCACACGCTGCGGCGGAAAAACCAGCGTCTGCACACGCTGCGGCGGAAAAGCCAGGAAAAGCCTACGTGTTTAGGGCACACTTTCCCTGATTTCTGAAAGGAGTGCTATTTTTGCGTTCCTTTCAGGGACGCCGCCGGAGCGCCGTGGTGCGGAGGCTGCGGTCCCGCGGCGCTCCGTCCCAGGGCGTCCCCGACGCCCTGGTGTGCTTCCCCCCTAAGTGTCATGAACAGGAACAGTTCAGTTCAGAAACCCAGGCTTCAGTAGTAAAATCACAGAAAACCCTTATTCAGAAATTTTAGAGGTCCTCCATAGATGTATGTTGTCAAGACTGAGGCATAAGCATTAACACAGCACAATTAAAGCACATGCAAATTCATACTTTTGCATGGGCTGACATCCCATTCATTCATAAAATCAAACAAACTCATTTCTCCCTTATTCCCATAACTTTCTCTCCTTCCATCCCATACCATCAGTTCTCAAGAGACCCCCCCTTGAAATTCTCAACACAACTTCTTTTCCCTTTTTCCCATCTGCTCCATAGCCCAAAGAGGAATGTAAAAAACATCAACAATTCAGTTTGGACTACATGTCCTATTGTCCACTGTTAGTACCCTACAACACACTGTGAACAAGTGATGCTACAGCAGCCAAACCAACCCTATTAACCATGGCAGGCAAGCTGTACAACTCAGCTACTAGTCATGATATTGTTGGGCCTTCTCTCTACCTGGAACCTCCATCAGAGAAAGCAAAGCAGCTTCATTTATATACCGCTTCATATCACGCATGGGATGTCTAAGTGGTTTACAACTGTGAGCTGATTGCCCCCCAACAATCTGGGTACTCATTTTAGTGACCTCGGAAGGATGCAGGCCTGAGTTGCGCCTCAGCCCTGACTGGTATTGAACTTGCAACCTTGTGGTCTATGAGTGAGTGGCTGCAGTACAGGCATTTAACCACTGCGCCACCAGGGCTTTTTCAGTCTTTTTCAGGGCTGAAAAGACTAAGATGGCAGTTTAGGACAATTATTTATTTGTATTACAACTCCCAGAATCCCCCAAGTGGCATGACCAGACTGGCTGGGGAAATCTGGGAGATGCAGTTCCCTCTTCTCATCCCCCCCCCCCCCCACATGTACATTTTGAATGAGACAATGGTGACAACTAAAAGAAACACATTCTGGCAAACTGAGCCAGAATGCCACATGGCTTTTCAAAAAGTCCAAATAAGCTTTGGCAGACTGAAGCATCAAAGAGCATCATTTAGATGCTGTTCAGAGAACAGTACAATCTCTGGTAACAGCTACATTTAGCTAAGAACAAAATGCTACCATGTGGCATGGTCATATTGTTCTCTCACTTTCATTTTCAACAACATTTTGATTAGAGCTGGTCTGCAATTTGTTGCCTGCGTAAAACAACAGCATCAGAGAGATGGGAAAAAGTTCATTCTGGAACACTTTGTTTCCACTGATATCTCTCACTTCTTTTGTAGTCAAAAAGAAGGAGAAGGAGGGGAAAAAACCTCCATGACAAGGCTAGGAAAGAGAATTGCTGAATCTAGGGTAGATCGACAAAGATTAGCGACTCCCTATCCTAATAACAGTATTACAACTTAACTCAAAACCTCCTCCTGCCCCAAATTAGGCTGCTGAAAAACAATGGTTGGAGAAAACCCACAATAATTGCATGGAAGGATATGCTAGCTTGGTTCTGCTACTGACAAATCCAGCCCAAGACTTTGCTATCTGAGGGAGGAATTGAAGCTGCATAGTATCCAACACCAAGCAAGCTATTCCGTCAATCAGGCAGGAAATCTGAGAAATGTCTTTCCCTATTCTTGAGAGTAAAAACACAGCAATGGCAAATCAAAATAATATGAAATGTGCTGTTCTTTCATGACAGCCAAACTCTGCTGCCTGAATTGGATACCTTGCAAGGCAAGTAGGGCCATCTCTAGTATTGACCACAAATTCCCTAGATTAATCCACAGTCATCTGTGCGTCAGCAATTAGATTACTATGATGCAGTCTACATAGGACTGTCCTTGGATACTCCTTGTTGTTGTTATGTGCCT